AGCGCTTTACAGTACAGTTTTACATTCACCCATTCACACACATTCATACAGTGCATCTATTAACAGCACTTTTTTCTATGAGGGGCCATTCAAAGCTCAGCATTTTTCCCAAGGACATTTAAACACATGTGGATCGAACCATTGACCTTCTGATTTGTGGATGACCGCCTCTACTTCAATGAGAGTCAATGTCTAATATAAAGATAATTATAACTACTAATCAGAAAGTGTTTAGGTGACTATGAGTAAAAACTGATTTTACTCTGAGTCTCATGCAAATACATTTTTAAAGCTTGGTGCATAGTTTCAATTTTAAAGCAATTAGTAAAAAAAACATTTGTTTTATCAAAAATCTCTGTGACTTTAGAGTTAGTGCATTTATTTTTTTGGGCAGGAACACTGAATTGTTTTCCGAGCAGCAGGAGAAGAGGTAACAAGACTGAATCTCACTGCATTCAACTGTGTCTTCACGGCTCGCAGGTGATGGTCTGGTCACAGCTGTCCCAGTTCAGGAGCTCTTTACCCTGAAACCACAGCTGGATCTCCCGCTCAGCCCCCTCCCGGGAATCACTGGCATGGACCACGTTCCTATAAATGACCAACATTCATCATTACTTCACCTCCAAGACGACAAAAAGAAGGCTACACAGGCAACAGGCTCACAAAACACAAAATCTATAAAGTTATTGCCCAACTGTGAAACTTACTGCACATCCAATGAAATAAAAACACATCAGGTTACCTGCTGACATGAATGCTGAAATCTCCTCTGACTGTGCCGGACTGGGCCTCAGCTGGGTTAGTGTGTCCCACCATGGTGCGTGAGGTCTGGACAACATTGTGCCCTTCCCACACCTGAAAATGCACATAAACGCTGAACAGAAGAAGTGTAGCAGGTTTCTTTCTTAAACATTCTGCACTGGGTGGGAATCGTTTGCTTAAACAAAACTTTCATGTCTTTCAACCTAATGCAAAAATAGACATCATAGAAATGATTCCCTCACCATGGCGACCACGGGCCCTAAGGTCATGTATTCTTGCAGATTGGGGTAGAAGGGCTTTGTCCTCAGATGACAGTAGTGCTGAGCCAGGAGATCATCAGACACCTTCACAACACATGAACAGAAATCAGACGTTGCACTTCACACAAGCATCCAACGTGGTCACCTCAGGCCTTCCTACCTGTAACATCTTCAGACCGACCAGCTTGAAACCCCGCTGCTCAAACCGCTGAATTATTTGTCCTACAAGACGTCGGTGGACTCCATCAGGCTTCACAGCGATGAGGGTCCGCTCCCTGACATCTGGAAGACCTGGTGGGGACAGAACAGCAGCTGATCACAAAGCACCACCCTCACATCAAACACAGGGATGGGGACGAATATGGAGATGATGCATGTTCACGCACAGAGAAACACACACACACACACACACACACACACACACACACACACACACACAGAGCAGAGTGGAACAGGCACTTCAGATATTTTTGGTGAGTTACGCTCAGATCAGCCACAACACGACGCACGAGCTAATGAATGACAGCATGCGATCAATTACACACACGTGACCTGCCTCGAAAAGTCCTGACAGCACTTAACTCTTGAGCCCGTGTCGTGGTGTGAGCTACGTGTTGGTTGGATTTTAGTTTCACGCTGAGAAAAAAGTTCGGCTGTTGTGCCGGGTGATCCTGCGTCTTGCGCGCTGCATGCGCTCCGGTTTTGGTCCAGTTACGCACAGCGCAGGCCACAGTTTCTCCATCATCGCCGTCACCCACATCATCATCATCATCATCATCATCATCACTATCTTCTGCGCCACTAACCTAGTTCCAGTTCATGACCCCGTGAGTTTGGCAAGAGGACTTGTTTTTGCAAATGTCCCAAATGGATTTTTGGAGCAAGTAAGATGAACGTTGCGGATCGGAGGTCTCCATGGTGACAATAACGTTCAACGAGCAGCAATATGTTCTTTTCAATCTTAATAAATACAGTTTATATCCACGTCAACATTACATATCCCACAACAAAGGAGAAATTACTTGGAGAGATTTCTTTACGTTTACTGGTTAATTCTGAGTAAGTCTTGGAAGAATTGCCATTTAGTCTGATTACCTGCGTTAAGGAGAGGATTGAGTCGAATTTAACTGAGGTGCCCAAAGACTCGATGAAGTACAAAAGTCAATCCCTTTGCTTTTCTGAATATAACTTCAGCCACTTACTTGATTTGCTCCTGAGTCCACACAGCAGAGCGGCTGCAAACCCAGACACCAGCTCTTTAGTGGTTTCTCGATGTCTCCAATAAAACGGACGAGTGACTCCGTGAAAAACGCAGCTCCGCAACACGCTCATGTTCTGATGTGTGTCCCGTCAGCCTCAGGAGACAGAAGTCAACTCTGCTCAATCACAACTCACGGGTCTGTCCCACCTGACTGCAGCTCCCACTGAAACACAATCAACTCAGTGAGTTCCACAAGAACTTTCACCAGTTTAAAAGTTAACCTGTTGAGAATGTAATGTCACACCCCCAATACCAGGGGAATGAAATGTCCCACTGCCCATGTCAAAGGATTGCTGCTATTTTCAAAGCCTCCTAATATAAACTCCATTGCAGAAAGAGTTGAGTATTTCAAAAAGTAGACTATATATTTTTTTTGGTCAGAAGTTGTCAGAGACAGAACAGTCAGGTGACAGAGAGGTTAAGAGCCCAACAATGACCCTGCTCCTCAGGTCCAACAAATACAGCTTTGAGAAAGTTCTTCATGATCCTGATACAAGAATATTACAGCGACTTGAATTCAGTATTTTTATAAAGTTGTTGGACTTGCAACAGCTTACAAATGGTAAATGTCAATTTTTTGTCTTTCTTAATCTCTAAAACTGATGGATCCTATATTCACATAATGCAACTCAAATCTGTCATCAATACACGCGGATGTTTCTTTTAAGCTCTGAAGTAAAGCAGGTTGACGCTATTATCTTGTGCTTGACACGATACAACAGTCTCTTTTCTTCCTGTGACCAATACATTTATCTTGAGCTATTAAATATGTGGAATTTGTTTTAAATTAAACCACATGAATATGAGATTCTCAGAAAAGAAGTCTGAACTTTTACAGTGAAGATATTTATACATTTTCACATCAAAAACATATAACAAATTTATATTTAGCATCAAGACAAGGTTCTGAGTTTAAACAAGCTCTAACTAAATTAAGGGTCCAGAAGTCATATTCATTAGATTGTGCTGAGTCACATGAACCTCCTCTGTCATCTCTTTTCTAAATAGCAAAAATCAGAGCTGAATGTACAAAATAATGAACATCTTAACTGGAATTAAACGTTGCTTAACATCTGAAAGTTCTGAACAGACCTCAGCTCAACATAGAGGAAAGATAATGTGGAGTTGTTTCACCTCATCACTGTGAAGCTTGTGAAGTTGTTCTGATTCTTCCGGTGGTGACAACTTCCCATCTTAAGTATTTTTTGCCTTCACTCGACATTTGCTGCATGTGATGTGTCACATGCAGTGCATCAACAACTCAGAGGACGCTTCATCAAGAGCTTCAGCCATTCTAAATAATTTATATCTGCTAATCCTCATCCACTGGCTCTGTAAGGATCCAAACACAATCTGATTATTGTCTCTACAAAATTAAAAATCTGAAAAAAACCCCCCAAAAAACGTATTATTCAGCATTTGAAGTCGATTAATTCCAGTTAAAATGAAATTAAACAATGTAAACGTGCAGCAAATTATTGTATTTCTTCATACAACCATTATTCTCAAACCAATATTTTACCACCGTCAGAGAATTTTCCAACACTTGAGTTTTACTAAAAAAGCACTTTATTTAAATCAAGCAGGTTTTCTCTTTGTCAGAATGGAATGATATGAAAGATCTTAAGTCGAGAGTCCGTCTCCTTTGGAGATGAAAACAATTGAAGGCAAAAATGAATAAAAGCAGATATTTTTAAAAACTCAAAATGAGTTGAAAGTGCTCATTCCCAGCTCGGCTTTGTTGCAGAGGCGTGGGAGAGAAGGCCTGGCTCAGACTGCTCCAGGTCTGGGCGAAAGCCGACTGCAGACCAGGTTTACATTTCTTGCCAAATTATCATTGGCAGTTCATAAGGAGGGCACTGCTTTGAAAAAAAAAAAAAAACACGTGCCAACCTTCTACAGTAGAAATCCAAGAAATTAAACATCAGCAGCATCCTCAACCTCCAGTCACTCAACCATGAAACATATGTTGTTCCTTCCTATCACTCTGAATAGGGGGAGCGACGCTGAGCTGGAAAGGAGTGTTGGGGCAAAGTGGTCAGCACAGGCAGTCCTTGAAGATCATAGTTGATGTGTGGAGTGGTTCAGTCATTGTGCTATAGCTTGATGGTGCCAGTGGGCAGGCTACTGTTACATAGTCTGTAGTAGCGCAGGTCATTCACCAGTCGCTGCACACTTTGGGTGAACGAGGGCAGGTCCTTGAGAGAGAAGAGAAAGTTTAACAGAAATATTGATTTACAGAGGAAGTAGAAACATGTACTGATGCTAAACATGAAACTTAAAAAGGTTCAAATTCATCTTTAAAAGTTAAACTCATTACACTGAAGAGCAGTACTTACAGTATCGGTAATCAATTAACTCATGGATAACAGTTTTACCCATTCAGTGCAAACTGATACAGTCTCACAGCAATGGACAATAAATTGAATTATAAAAAACAAAAGTACCCTCGCTCTCCAGAGAAAGTTTCCCTATGACTCCAGGCGTGACCATGTAAACTATTCACATAAACACCATTTCATAGTCCGTATTAAACTGTTCAGTGTATTCAGTGGATTATTCAGAGGAACTACAATACTGTTGGTATAATGGTAGACTGCCTGGAAATCACGTTTTTGTGACAATGACACAGAGAAAATCCTCACAACAGATAATGATAGTGTTAAGAGTAGTATAAACAAGTTTCTCATATTATTCTTATTTTTGTCAACTTGTTAAATGGCTAAACAGATTAAGAGGAAAATCATTTTCAATTAAGAGCTGGACTGTGTTGCTTATTTACTGCAGTATAAAATACAGTAGTCATATGTATAACATCTTTTAAATGCCACTGCAGTCTTGAGTTGTTGTGACGTTTCATGTCCATGTCTCCTCTTGTGGAGAAATCAAAGTAAAATAAAAGCAAATCAGTGACAATTGCTTAATTCCGTCACCATTTAATACAACACTTGTGCCAAAAGGATGCATAACACATTGCCAGGGTGAACTATCGGAAGACAATATATCCGTAAAATGTCATTCTTACCTGTTCAAGCTTGAAGTTGCGTGCAAGAACAGCTCGTTGGCCGCTGTCTACACCCTGGCAGCTGTTGAGGAACTCTGGCATGAAGGCAGAGTAGAAGGCATCAAAGTCCACGGAGGCCATGTTGTAAATAGCGAGGATGATTTCCTCCTGAAGAAGGTCGTGGCTTTTGTGGAGAAGGACCTGCAGCAGCACGTTGATGAAGTGGAAGAGCATCGAGGTCCGAAAAAGCTTCTGAAGCACATTTAAAACAACATTTACATTATAAAGACTCCAAACATGGTTATTGATTACATTATATCGATTGGAAAAGTGTTTGTGTTTTTGTTTAGCCCAACTGATTACTACTTTCATTTAATTTGCCAAAAAGGGAGACAAACACCAAGAGAAAAAAACTGCATCTCATTAGTTAAAAATGCTGCAGCTTTGACTTCACCTGTCCAAGGTCTGAACGGCTGTTATTGGTGGAAGTGAGTTAGCTGCATGATGATATACAACACATCTCAAAACAGTGACACAGATACAGAAGCTCAACTCACTCTGTGATACAACTTGTGCTTGCTGTTGAGTGACTCCAGATATGAGAGATTCTGCTTGAAGATGTGGATGTCAGGCTGCAGGAACGACTGTCCGAAAGCCTGGAGACGATATTTCAACACAAGTCAGGGAATGAAGTCAAACCAGATTTAACAATGACTTTGTGATGAAGACGTGAGTGAACTGATGATATTGAGAACAGAAAACACAAACACAATTTCATTTTGACTTTATGTTCTGTATGATTAACATTACAAAGCTATGGTACATCGTTGATGCATCAACTGGACAGTAGATTGTTCTACATTTGAAAAACAGAAATATAGAACACGGTGGTGTAAAGGTTTGATGACAGCTGTGGACACTGACCTGCATGGCAGCTGTGAACTGGGCTTCATTTTCCATTGTATCTTCAGCGGCTCCTCTTTGGACACTTGTTAAGACTGACGTTTTAAAGAAGTACCTCCAGTTTTGGTGAAGTATTTGGTAAAGCAACTCAAACATCTCTGCCTTGACGTCTGGTGAAGATCTCTGTCAACGAGTTTCAATGTATACTATCAAAACAATATCATAACGTGTGGGGCATGTTTTATTATCAGATTATTCAAATGAACAGATTTGTGACGAATGTCTAGTTTCTTTTTGATAAAATTTGTTGTTTCACAATATTCACATTCACTGTCTTTTGCATGAGCTCTCACTGGAGACTGATGCCACATGATAAGTTTAGGTGCTTAAAATCCAGAATGAATGTTAACTTTGAGCAAGCAACCACTAACTGACCTCTGCCACCACCGGGTACACCTGCTCCATGCACAGAGAGAGGATGCTGGGTAGGAAGGGCTTGAAAGCTTGACCAGGCTCCTGCACCACCACTTGAAGGATTTTCAGGAACTTCTGTACCACTCTACACCCTGCGCTGCCCTCTTGCAAAATACTGGCTGCCAGCTGTTCCCTGTAGCACATATAAGTGACATCACATTCATTAGTGTTTAAGATTGATAGCAGCATTATGCCCCAAGCCATTTCAATTCTTTATCTATCCAAACAGGATGCAAGACTGCAGGGACTTGTTTCTTTTACCTGGTGAACATGCTGAGAAAAGTGTGGATGATCTGTCCAGTGAAGGCAACACCCATCTGGACTCGCAACGCCTGAAACAGCGTCAAGAAGAAGGCCAGCATCTCATCCGTTATATCTGGGAAAGAGAAATTACCATGAACAAAGCTGGCCAGTCAGATGTGTCGTCGTTTGTTGAGAATTTGTTTTATATTAAAATGTATACAATACAGGGCCTATTGGGATAGGCCTCATTCTTTGTGAAATCTAAATTAACGTAAATCAAATGTTGAGTTTAACCTCTAGATGGGCAGCACAACTACAGATAAGACACTGACCTGGCTGCTGAATAAACACAGGGAAAAGGCTGAGGGACACTTGGACAGACTCCTGAAGACTCTGGTAACAGATCTGACGTGATTTTGTGGATTCCCCAGAGATGCTATCCACCATGTCTCTGAGCAAAGGCAGGGTCTGCTGTATCAGTGCTTTCACTGGAGTGAGAAGATGGTGACATAACACAATTTGATGAGGAAAGGGAATGACAGGGCATCAAAATAATCAAACAAAACA